GGAGGGGCATAGAGAGAGGGAGGCACAGAATCCGAAGCACGTTCCAGGCTCTGAGCTGTCAGCACAGAGCCCAGTGTGGGGCTCGAACTGGTGAACCGTGAGATCATGACCTGAGCTCAAGTCGGAATGCTTAACCAACTGAGCCACCCAGAAGAGCATCTCTTGGAACATATGTTGCAGTTGAATGGCCCCTGATGTAGCTCAGTCACAGATATGTTTTATTTATCTTGTCTAGTGTTGCCAAGACCTAAAATTAGGGCTATTTCACAGAAAAGCCTAGATTTTTTTTTTTTTTTTTTTGGCTTCCTTGAAAAATTGAAAGATCAGGCAACAATGGACCAACCTTGCCAATGGCAACAATTCGTTGAAGTTAAGGAGCAGCTGCCTTCTTTAATTAAGGAATATATTTGTGCCACAGTTCCCATTACTCCCTATTGCCTGTATCCGGCCCATTGAGTCATTTCCCTGGCTTTCTGGCCCTTAAGAACATCTGTCAGTGACATCTGCTTTGGAATGATTGTTGCCTCTGTGAGCCTCTTCTCTTTAGCTTCCCGTAACAATTCCTGGCCAGCAAGGCAATTAATTATGATCAGAACAACTAGCATCTGCGAGCTTTGTAGTCTGCAGTGGCCCTCAAACTTTTGCATGCATCAGAATCTTAAGACAGATTGTTGAGCCTCATTTCCAGAGTTTCAGATTCACAAGGTTTGAGGATCAGAGGGTTTGGATTTCTGTCAAATTCCCACGGAACACTGATGGTGTGCGGACCAGCTTCTGAGAATCACTGAGCTATAGTACTAGAACACAACACAAAACAACATGAGGCTGGTGGGACAGTATATGTTCCCCACCAGAAATAAAATGTGGAAAGGTTAAGTAACTTACCCAGGGTCATAAGAAGAAGTAGAGTCAGATTGAAAACCCTGTCTTTAGAGTATATCCAGCAGGAAGCCATGTTGTAGATCCCTGCTTCTGCACCCATCTGCCCCACAAGATCCCCAGAATCCTCTAGAGAACCCTGTAATGCACATGTAGCTGTAGGGGTTCTAATTTAAGATTATACCAAGGATGTGATCATTGTCCTATCTCTGGACACTGAGTTTGAACTTGCAGTGAGCACAGGCAGAGGCAAGGGTTGAAACCTGACTGTAGATCTCCCTACAGAGGTATGAGACATACTTGCTGGGCAGGACCTGTGACTAATGAAGGCTCGCCGGGAGTAGAACTGAGGAACAGGACTCCAGGCCGGCAAGATCGCTCGCTGCTGGGATAACAGAACAGATCTCCTGGACAGGGACTAGGTACAAAAGCAACTACAGGGATCTCTTTTCCAAGACTGGGGTCCAGAGCAGAGCTAGAACTTCTCGGTTACTAGATCTGTCAAGGTCAGAACAGAACTAACAAGAAAGGTGATTTCTTCAGTCTCGTCATTTTAGGCTTCTTAAAACCTTACTTAAGTCCAGATTAATCTAATGATATGGGGCCCTTCCCACTTGCAAGGGAAGGTGGGTAAAGTTGGGGAACCAGACAGGGTCTCACATGGATTAAACTGATTTTTTAAAAAATGTATTAAAGCTCCATCTGCTTAAAACCCTTTGAAATGAATAATTAGGTCACCGTGTGATCATGATAAGCCATCCACTAACCTAGTTTGAAAGTTTGTATTTCTCCAAGTAAGAGTGTAAATGTATTATCAGCTACCTACCTCCAGTCTCCAAGACAGTTATATTTATATGTATGTATAATTTGCATACATATATTGATATAATGTAATTAAATGAATATACTATATA